GCGGGATCTGACACCTCCCTTTCTGCCACCAGTGACTCCACTGGCCAGCAGAAAGGGGCTGTAAAGAATAAAAACGCACCGCGCAAGAAGATAGGTTTTAACCCATAGTCATCTCATTTAACTTTTTACCGGTTTTTATATTTACTTCGCACTGGCTAAGCATATAGGTATTATGCAGTGGAACTGTCGCGGCCTTCTACGTAACATAGATGACATCAATTCATTTTTTGATGAGCTCCGCCCTGTTGCTATTTGCCTACAGGAGACTTACCTGACTGACTTGCACACGCAGGTTTTGCGTCATCATCAAGTTTTTAGGAAGGACCGCCATTCCTCAAGCCCTTCGGGTGGTGTAGCAACAGTGGTTCAGAGTGGAGTGGCATGTGCCAAAGTTCCTTTACAAACTTCACTTGAGGCAGTTGCAGTTTGCATCCTTCTTGACTGCCTCATCATTCTAGTGTCACTCTACTTACCACCTAATGTTCCGCTGCATCTTCATGAACTCCAAGCACTCATCAACCAACTCCCCAAACCTTTTTTAATCCTTAGTGATTTTAACGCCCACCATCCTTTGTGGGGAAGCTCTCGTCAGGACTCCTGAGGTGGAGTTGTTGAACGACTTTTATTATCAACTGGAATCTGCTTGCTAAATAAGAAAGAACCAACATTTTTTAGTGCTGCCCACAATACTTTTACATCAATCGACCTATCGCTATCATTGCCATCTCTACTTCCATGCTTTTCATGGAATGTTTTAGACAATCCTTTTGGCAGCGACCATCTACCCATAATTTTAGAGTGTTTTACCAGTTTCATCAATACCAACTCGATTTCCGCGATGGAAGTTGGAAGAGGCCGACTGGTCTATTTTTGGTTTAGAAGCAGCACTTGATCCCTCCCTGTTTCTTCATATGACTCCCGAGGATGCGACGCTTTACGTTACAGAATGCATTATAAATGCTGCTTCCGCTTCAATTCCGCAGACTTCAGGAAATCTTCCCCGGAGGTGCAAGCCCTGGTGGAATGAGGAATGTACTTCCACTCGGAAAAGCCAGAACAAGGCGTGGGGAACTTTTCGGCGGTATCCAACTTTCCGTAACTTGATCGAGTTTAGGAAAAAAACAGCACAAGCTCGATGGACGCGAAAACGGGCAAAGTGGGCTTCTTGGACAAAGTATGTTTCATCCTTAAATAGTTTTGTCACGGCTAAAGAAGTATGGGATTGTCTCAAAGAAGTTTGCGGGCAGTACCATGCTTTCAGGATTCCACTTTTTCCTTCGATCTCAGCATCTCTAACAGGGCAAGCAGACGTCCTCGCAGAACATTTTCAGCGTGTTTGTAGCTCTTCCGATTACAGTACGGAGTTTGTGAAGTTCTGGTCTACCGCTGAAAAACAGAAATTCACTATGTCAGGCTTTAACTCTGTTACGTACAACAAACCATTCACAATGTGTGAACTTGAAGTTGCTCTCAGCTTAAAAAAGCAGTCTGCACCTGGGCCAGACAGAGTTCACTACGAGATGCTCAAACACCTCTCTCATGAATCCTTGTACCACCTGCTATCCTTTTTCAATTACCTTTGGGAAGCTGCTGCTTTTCCGCATACTTGGAGATGTGCCCACGTTATACCTTTGCTGAAGCCTGGAAAAGATCCCTCTCTGGCTACAAGCTACCGCCCCATAGCACTTACAAGCTGCTTGGGGAAAACTTATGAAAGGCTTATAAATCGCCACCTTATGTTTTTTTTGGAGGAGAAAAACTTTTTCGATACTAACCAGTGTGGCTTTCGGGTTGGACGGTCGACTATGGACCATCTGGTCCGACTTGAGACCGTCATACGCGAAGCCTTTGTTCACCGGCAGCATTGTGTGTCCGTGTTTTTTGATTTAGAGAAGGCATACGACACTACATGGAGGTATGGTATCCTTCGAGATCTGTGCAACTGTGGAGTGCATGGCCGCATGCTCCGTTGCTTACAGAACTATTTAAGTGAACATACATTTCAAGTTCGATTAGGCTCGACTTTATCCAGTGTCTTCTTACAAGAAAATGGTGTCCCCCAGGGCGGAGTCTTAAGTGCCACTTTATTTGCAGTTAAGATAAACAGTCTGGCTCAAGTTATACGATCATCCGTTTCTTACTCTCTTTACGTGGACGATGTGCAAATATCTTTTTCGTCTTGCAACCTCTCTAATTGTGAACGGCAATTGCAGCTCACGATAAATAGGATGAGCAAGTGGGCAAATGAAAATGGTTTTAAATTTTCCCCAGAGAAAACTGTGTGTGTGCCCTTTTCCCTGCGACAAGGTCTATCTTTGGATCCAATCTTACAATTGAATAACACAGAAATATCGGTGAAGCACGAACATAAATGTTAAGGCATGATCTTTGATAAAAAGCTTACATTTAAGTCTCATTTAAAGGAAATAAAGCAGAAGTGCTTGCAATCCTCTAACATCCTTAAGGTTCTGTCACATGTATCTTGGGGGTCTGACAGGCGATGCCTTCTACGGTTGTACAATGCTTTAGTTCGGTCACGCCTGGATTATGGAGCGATCGTTTATGGTTCAGCATGACCTTCCACACTAAGGATGTTGGATCCGGTTCATCACCTTGGGCTCCCGCTTGCCACTGGGGCATTTCGCACATCACCCGTATTAAGCTTGTATGTGGACACACATCAAATGTCTCTTGGAAAACGGCGACAGTACTTGAGCCTGTGTTATTATTACAAAGTCCTCTCGGATCCCAAAAATCCTGCTTATAGTATTTTACACACCCCTCAGTTCTGTAAATTGTTTGAAAACAAGCCAACAATTGTGCGCCCCCTAGGCTTTCGAGTTCAAAGTATCTGTAGCTCTCTCAACCTCCCTGTCCCTTCCACAAGTGGTGTTAACTTGCTAAAATCTATAGAGAGAATTGCCCCTTGGAACGAGCTACCCGTATGTTGTGACTGGTCTTTCACCAAATACAGTAAGAAGATCGTTGCTCCACAGTTTCTTCAGAAAGAGTTTATATCTTTGCAAGAAAGGATATCTAGAGGTTGCAACAAGTACTATACCGACGGGTCGAAATCTCTAAGTCACGTTGGTTGTGCAGTTTATTCTAGTAACTTTGGAAGAGCTGTGCAGCTTGACTCAATGGCAAGCATCTTCACCGCAGAGCTCTATGGTATTTTATTAGCCATTGAACATATTCTGGACAACAATGTATTGAATGCAGTCATTTTTGTCGATTCGCAAAGTGTCTTATCTGCTATTTCTTCCAGAGTTTCTACAAAGAATATTATACTTACACAACATGTTCTTATTAAAGTAAACAGAGCTCTTCGCCTTGGATGCACTATCAAATTTTGCTGGGTACCGAGTCACGTAGGAATCTCAGGAAATGAGAATGCAGATCGCCTGGCTGCATCTGCCACACACTCAATAGTATCTTTTGGCCTGCCCTACCAGGACTTTAAACCACTTCTAAAGAAATCTCTTTTAAAGACTTGGCAGCTAGAATGGGACGCTGAAACCAATCATAAACTCCACGTGATTAAACCCATGATAGGCATCTGGGAAAGTTCATTCCACAAGAACCGCCACCTTGAGGTTCTGCTTTGCCGCTTGAGAATCGGCCATTCACGTTTGACACATACATACCTTCTAAGTGGCGAAGATGTTGCAGTTTGTGCCCATTGTGGGGAATTACTTACAGTTTTACACATTCTATGGGAATGTAGGTTTTATCATCAATTGCGCGTATCATGTTTTCCTGAACTCTTTAGAAACCATCTTCCCTTTCATCCTATGTTTTTACTTGGAGACAATGCCTTAGTACCACTCAGACGAGTTTTTGATTTTATTAACAAAACTGGATATCTACACCAGTTATAAAAAGTTTCTGTAGCCTAGCATCTGTTTCATTTGATCTTTAAAACACATTTTGTTTGGCGCATTATGGCCACCGTTGCCGCTGTGCCATTAAAATCTTAATCCTAATCCTATGATGCAAGATAAAATTATAATTTGCCATATGAATGGCTACACATACAAAGCATATATTTTATAATTTCCTCTACATAGGCTACTGATTATAAGCAGCTACGCCACACATGAAATATTTGTGAAATGTATTTCATAAGTTTATTTACTTCTCGAAAATGTTGTTTATCGCGGATCGCTTAGACACCACATGACAACTCGAAACAAAATGAAGTTTGTTCATTGGCCCAAGAGGGTGTAATGTGAACTTTTATGCAGGCTACATATATGAAAACGGGCACCGCGCAGCAGTTTTTATAGCAACTTGCATGGACACTGCAAAGTGGACTCGTGCTATGCCACCACGTCACGGTGTCCACGCATGTTACTATGGAAATTTTTGCATGGTGCCCATTTCCATAGCTCACGGTGCCCCGCTTGAGCCCCATTGAGCGTGCTTCTCACCGAGCACCGGTGCTCTGCGGAGAAGCAACACCCGCGGAAGCAAACTCCGTGGGTGTTGCCTATCTGCAGTGCACCGGTGCTAGGAAAAAAGCACATTCAACAAAGCTGCGAGAACAAAACGCATGATTTACACGAAAACACCGCTCGAATCAAGCGGCTTCTGAATACATTGAAAACATAACGGGACAACCGAAATTTTTAAATTGGTTTGAATTAATCAGAAATACAAAGTATTTGAGTTTGAATTATCGCGAGTGTATTGTACATGGAGTAGAATTTCTCGTAAGTGTAGGCTCTAGACAACTGAAACAAAGAAATTGTCTCTCTTCGAGTTGGTCATATCTTTTGATAAGTGGAACAATTCATCCTGGTTTAAGATCTTGAACTTGTAGTTTGTACGCGGTATTAATTTCTCTCAAACATAATCCTTATAAACTGAAGTGACCCCATGAAAATGCATTGTGTTAGCGAGCCCAAATATTTGCGAAGGTGTGCAAGTGTAATTTTTTTTTTTTTTTCCGCCGCTCGATAATAATTCATGCGCTTCTCTTTTTGCTTGCAATGCAGGAGCAACATTCAAGCCAGTGACAACAGCACTTACCTCAAGTACTGTCGTTACAACGCGGACAGCGACCCGCTGTGCCCGGTGTTCAGGCTGGGCGACATTGTCGAGGAGGCTGGGGTCAACTTTGAAGAAGTGGCAGTGAAGGTGACGTGTGCTTTTAAAGCGACAGCTTTATCTGGGTACCCTCCACGGATCTTGCTTACTCGTGTTGGTGTTGGTTGCGCCGCATACAAAGCCACGGGGGAAGGTCGTAGCAGCAGAGGACATCTGGCGGTTCGACATCCTAGCTTTAGTCGTGGCATAGCAATAGGAGACTTTGGAAATGATGCAGTTGCTCTACTTTGAGTTCAAGAAGATGCAAGCGAGATGCAATATATTTGTATAAAAGCCTTCATGCAGGGTGTCTAGCGACTGGGAAAACCGGGAATTGTCAGGGAATTTTAAGACACCTGGAAAAGTCAGGGAATTGTCAGGAAAATTTCCAAACAGATTGCAGAGTCAGGGAATTTATCCCATGCTCGCCCGCTTACGCTAGAAGCGGCAGGCACAAGCAGGCATAGCCACGAGCGCAGTCAAGTGCGGCGTCGCGACCCCTTCCACGCGCTATGCTTCACACGAGAGCACGTGCGAAACTGGCGACTCGTCGTTGTTTTAGTACACTCTAAAGCCACTAAATAAGCTACACTTTAGGGTAGCAACGCTAAAGTATGGCGGCTAAAGAGTTATTCACAGTTACTAGTGAAGCAGAGTAGCAGCGGCAGTTTTGTTTAGTTCGTGACTCTAGTCAGGTGGTGTTGCTCTAGTACGAGGAGAGACAGTTGCTCTAGCGGATACTAGGTGGTGCGAGTCACCACTTACTCGAAAAAGAACAACCGTTGTTCATTCATCTACCCTCTGAGAGGCGCGCGCCTAGCGATCCATTCGTTTGTCAGATATGGTCGATATGGTGCTTTCGCGTCTCCCCGTAAACGCAACCTGGACGCCTGTACTCTACGAGCTCTGCCACGTGCGTTTGTGGCTGTGGGTTGCGCTTTCTATCTTGTTATTTTCCTAAAGTGGAGGTATGTGAAAGTGACTATGTCGCTGTCGAGAAAGTGCTCCTTCAATCTCAACTGGACAAACCTGGACATATGCGCGAATGCGAGTTGGATTCGGCCCATTCCAAATGATCCAAATAGTGCTCACTGCGCAATGTGCTGCAAGAAGTTCTCCCTGAGCAACATGGGAAATAGGGCGATTGCTACTCATCTTGAGGGTAAGAAACATCACACTGCTATGAAATACCTGCAAAGCGTTTCCCAGAGCTCAGTCGTATTTTTCAAAACTGCGACAAATGCGGACTTGCCTTCCGCGACAGCAACGGGTGTTTTTTGTCCGGTGGTAACAATAGTGCTTGTAGGGCTCCGGCAATGCGTCTAACCACTGCCACGGAAGCTCTTAGCCCCTCTGTGAAGACGTGGGTGGTGGCTTTTTATTGAAGAAGGAAGTTACAAAGGCCGGGGATCATGTGGTGCTTGAACACTATAACAACTCATGGGTCTTTCCGTTCAGCGGAAGCGTCTGCCTCGCTGTTTCCTTTGATGTTCCCCATGTGTGAGACTGCCAGAAAAATTCAGCTTGGAAAAGACAAAGTGGGATATACAATATGTCGTGGTATCGCCCCCTACTTTCAAGACAAGTTACTGGCAAGCCTCTCTAACGTGCCATATCCGGTGGTTGCTTTTGATGAGTCACTGAACAAAGTAACTCGGAGAACAAATTGATGTACTGATCAGGTGCTGGGACCATACTCCCTGAAACAGTAAACCCGGGTCAATGCTGTATTCTAAACATCTTCTAAAGTTTGCTTTATCTAACTTAAAGAAAATATTTTACTTTGTGAATAGTGTCTAGTGAATGGGGGGGCGGGGGCGGGGGCGGGGGGGGGGGCAGGGGGCAGGGGGGGGAAGGGGTAACAGCGTGGTAACATTTTTTCTCCCCTCCTCTGTTGCACAGGAGAATGGGGGTGCTGCCGATCGCGTATTAGTAGAATAATCTAGAAGGCACAAAGGTATTTCAGTCAGATTGTGCGTGCGGCCACATTTCGGAGAAAACGATGCGTGCCCCCAAGGATATGAAGGTGAACGTAAGTCCTCTACATGCTGAGGGCACACAGCTCAGTAAACACCCATCATGTACAATGTTTACCTACTGCCCTAATTTGCTACCTTAGTAAAGAAAAGTCTTTTATACATTTGCAATTCCGTTGCCACATGTCACATTGCGTATCATTCCAATAGCAAGGGCTCATTCCAATAGCAAGCAAGGCAGTGCAACTGTACGTAAGGTAGCAGTAGCACAATACTAACAAACCGCAACCTGTTTTTCGATTTAAAACGCGTTCCATTTCGCTTTTTCGGGGAGTGCTCGTGTGACTGGGAGGTAGGCGGGTGAGGAGGGGCGGAAGGAAGGGAAGTTGCGAGCCGCACTGTAACACGTGAAGAGCGCAACACACAGCTTCCGCCACTTCCTTGAAAACATTAATGTGCATTGCACTGAAAAGCAACGAGTGTAATTAGGGCAAACGAGCGCATTTCTATTACCTGAAGAGCTAGCCAAGCAAACCCGATGATGATGATTTGCGGCCCTGTACCTAGCGCCACCACAACAAAAACAGCTGCGAGCAATTTTATTTTATACAGTAAAACCTCGTTAATTCGGGTCTCATGGGATGGGCAAACATGTCTGAATTATCTGAAAGTCGAAATACCGAAAGGACAAAGAAAACTGTGCGAAAACGTTTCCCTGTGACATACCTTTATTTTGAGAAGAAATCTGTTATTGCCACCTGCTTTCTGGACGACACTTGGGCGGAGACGGCAACTTTCCTTAGCGCGGTCGAGTGCTCCACCGCACTCGCACTGTCAGAGAGCTACACATCCCGTGCGCTGACGATTTAGCACAGCAAGGCCTCTTCTACTTTCGGGTACACCACCTTTCACAGCCGCTTTCTTTTCGCGTTGAACTTCTCGCTCTCGAAAGCCTGTAGGATCTCGGCCTCAATTTTCATGTATGTGGCCAAAGTGCTTCTTTTGACGTCGTAACTTTCCATCACTTGTTGTCGAGAGGAGCCGTCCTTCAAGGCCCTCACTATTTCCACTTTCGTCGCTAAATTCTTGGCCTGGTACAGCTGCAACGGAAAACGAGAGGCACAACTGACCAATGATCGGAGCGGCAAAATTGCGACACCCAGCGCTATTTTTCCCAAGCGTGCCGATAGCGAGAGAGCCAGTCACGTTGCATGTTTCAATGCGGGGGTGGCCGGCGACAAAATGAGATATAAGATAGCTGTTAAAATGCGGGCTTTAGGATGGCTGCTTTCACCCCGCGTTGAGGCATGAAACGTGACTGTCACTCTCGCTATCGGCGCGCTCGGGAACAATAGCACCGCGTGTTGCGATTTTTCCGCTCCGGTCGTCGATCGCTTGTGCTACTCTTTTTCTATTTCAGCTATGCTTCTGCCGATTCCATGCCAGGAGAGCAGCGCGCTGACGCCTGGCAATGTCGAGGAAAACTGGTGCGAAACACGGAGAACCGGAAGAGCGAAGAATCATGGGAAAACCGAAAAAAACCACGTGTGCACCTCGAATGAATAGCGGTCATACCCTTTGGAACGGACGGTAGCTAGTGCCACCTGCCAAATTCGTCTGAATTAACCGTAGCGCACCGCGTTCCCTCCGAATGAATGAGCGTTTGGTGCCATTCACTAATACACACGTTTGACAGGACCGGATCGGCAGTTCAAATTATCCGAATTAGCGGGGGTTGAATTAACGAGGTTTTACTGTATATGTCAGCCTCTCCCTTTGAACGGAATGACTGGAGGAAAGCTTTGCGTGCCGAGAATCTCGGAGGCCATGAGCGCTAACGCTTCGAGAGCCTCCTCCGAAAGACACGTGGCGACGCAAGCCGCCGCCCTATTTAAAGAAGGCCAAATTTAACCAGTCGGCAAGCGACTTTCATTCGCTGCGTGATCGGGGGTCGATTTCGGTGGTTTGGGGAATATTGCAATTCATGTTTTGGTAAGTCTGTCAAGTTTGTTTTGTGGAAGTTTGGAATGCGGGAAATTACTCCGCGGCACACAGCATTTACACAGTCGGCGAGCAGCCTGGTGTCTCTGCTGTGAGTGACAAGTTTTGCCAGTGGCGATACTGGCGGTATGACCACTAGCAGTATGACCGCTAGCCTGGCGTATCTAAATTGCGTCATGCAGTGGGGAATACACAAACGTGCCCCAGTACAATCTTCATATAGAAGGAAAAAAAAAAAAAGAAGTGGTAATCGCGACCAAGATGCCTGAATTTTCCGGCTCAAGCTTTCGCCCCACATGCACCGATGCGATAGCAGACCTCGGTCACTATTTTCCTTTAAGACCTTGTTTCTGATGCCACTCATGCTTACGTTTTGTGCTATACTGTTTCCTAAAACAACTCTAATGCCGCGCAGGTATTTCAATATGCAACAGCACAAATTCGGTTTCGCGCGATCGATTTTTCACTTTCCACTATTAGTACAACAAAGTTACCTGTACTGCGAAATATTCTGCCGGTCCCGCAGACTTCGTTATGAACGTCTTTGACTGTAGAGATGTTTCATTTTCTAGCTGATGGAATGTGTTCTAAGAATTTACATTGAAAAGTTTGTATGATTGTCTGGAGTTAAATTATCTTGAATTTCAAGGGACGGCATAAGTTGCTTTCTGAAACTATCCCGCCGCGATTTATCGCGGGTGACATTGTGTGTTTTTGTTAATACTGAGCCTCTGTGCGAGTTTGCTAGAGCCATCTTAAATACAGGCACCTTCTCGCCAGGCATTTTCGTACCCTTGGCAGTATCTGCCAAGCGCACGCCATCCGAGGTAATGTTGCTGCATTCAGAGTCACTATATGCTGTTCCTTCAACTTTGCATTGCTTCTAGTGCAGAAAGGGCAGTTGGTACAATCGATAAAATAAAAAAAAATGTATTCTAGATTCATCCGCCAATAAGATAGTTCACGCACCGAAGTTTCCGCTTCTTGAAATCGGGGGTGGACTTTTCTGACTGCAGGGAGGAGTCATTCAGCTCCTTATCAACTGGGACTGCAACCTGGACTTCGACGCCAAGTACTGCATACCTAAGTACACCTTCAGCAGGCTGGACGATCCCAATGCTGTCCTGGCGAAAGGCTGGAACTTCAGGCAAGCTCATTGATAGACACGTCTTAGAATCGCACAATGAATGAAGGCCCATAGCTGTTGAAAATCAACATTAACTTGCTCTTTGGTTGGAGTAATGGCCGGATGCTAGCTCCCAAATGCACATACCTGATCGTGGCTGAGATATGGTTGCAGTAGGACGAGCTTATTGCCGTGACCAGGCTACAACACTAGTGGCTCCGCAGAAGTGTGAGCTTCGAGTCGGGGGGTGAAACTTGCCGGCTACGAATGGCCCACAAGCCTGGATTAGTTTTCTTGTACTCTGTTTAAATTTAGGTGTGACCATAGCTGAAGCTACAAGAGTGAGTTCCAGACTTTCAGTGTCCCTGCTAACCACGCACGCTCGTGCAGTACAAGCATTGTTCAGGGCAGCATACTTGTGCTTGTAGTTTCGGCTTTGCTCACACATAAGGTGAAATGTATACTATTATAGTATTTGCAACTGCAGCAAAAGAGATGGCACCAGAGGTCGGCATTTTAGGTCGCCCTCACTCACCCTCACAGCCATACTCACCTAAGCTCCTCACTCACCCTCACAACTACACTGACCTTCAGCCCCTTACTCACTTTCATCCTCACAGTCACACCTGCAGCCCTTCACTCACCCTCACTGAACCTCACGGCCCTCATTCCCTTCACGCACTCGTGGCCCTCACACACTCACGGCCCTCACGCACTCGTACCCCTCACGCCCTCACGGCCCTTATGCCCCTCGCTCACTCACCTCCCTCATGCCACTCATGGCCCTCACACCCCTTACGCACTCATACCCCTCACACATTCAAGCCCACTTCGGACGGGGCAGTTTTGCCCAGCAACTTGACGTCGCAACACCAGCAACACGAGCCGCCCGCGTTCACACGCAGCAACCAATTGCTGGAATTTGGCATCATCATCATGACATTTTTTTTTGGCACTATTTAGACACACAATTGCGCAATATAAACATGTTTTTATGCATTTAAATCTCGTTGAGAATACTAACTCATCTGTCTGAAACGGGTTATTTCCAAAAACGATTAATTTCAAACCAGAACCAAGTCTTTAGTTGTCATCATCACCGGCACGAGGTATCACATGAAAATATCACGTCCCTGTTTAGCCTGCAGCCGCTTCAAAAGTCTACGAATTGCTCAGAGTTGCTCGCTTCTTTCGAGCCGGACCCGATCTCAGCAATTTGTGTCAATCTAGGGAAAGGTAGGGAACAATCCGCCAGCAACACCAAAATTGCTGAGAAAGCTGCTCCGTCTAAAGCGGGCCTTACGCACTCACCGCCCTCACGCACTCATACCCCTCAAGCCCCTTACGCACTCATGGCCCTTACACCCCTCACGCCCTCACTGCCCTCACGCACTCGGACCCCTCACGCACTCATGGCCCTCGCACCCCTCACGCATTCACCGCCCTCACACACTCACGGTCCTCACGGCCCTCACTCACCCTTACACTCATGAATTTTCCTGGTTCAGAAACTCACTCACCCTCATTTCACCTGTGAAGACGAGGGTGAGTGAGGGCCCTCATGAGTGAGGTTTGCCGAAGTATGGATGGCACCAAGTGGGAAAACTGCAAGCCAGCCGAAACTGGTTGTTTTGTGACCTCAACGTCCTTTCCCCTGTGGCTTCTGCAACTGTAATGCGATCTGGCAGCACGATGCAGTGGCAAGCGAGTCCATGGATTGCTGATCTGTTTCTCAGTGTTTCCTGGTGCAGTGGAAAAACAGATCTTTGTTGGTCTTGCAAAGTAACAGTATTGTTATATATGCACAAGAATAACAGATCTCAGTAATACACTACTTTTTGACAAACTAACGAATACATGGAATTTCCTTACTTATATTTGGGAATGGGCACAACACTGCTAGTAATTATCTGGAAAATTCAAAGCATGAAACCGAAATCGAACACTTCATATTGAACCCGAACCGTGACGCAACCATAATCTGATGTGGTGGTTACCGGTTCAATGAAAGTTGTTCAGGGCCAATTCTGTCAATAATTGGTTGCGGGCGTATTTCTTTCTTATACTATTGCCAAGACTGATCCTACATACTCTCAGATATTTTTACATTTCGCATTTATTGCATGTGTAATAAAAAATGCATCATCATCAAAAGCAGAGACACAAAGAGACCGCGTGGTCAGTGAGCTCGCTTAGTTTCCACCTCTACTTAGGCACATGGAGAGCTTCAACTTTACTTTGTTTCTTGGATTGACCCTGGCTGCGCGGTAGCAGCGCGGCAATTTCAAAGCACCCCTTGGGCTTGGCCGCAAAATGTCCAAGTGTCGGAGTGGCTTGCGCCACTCTAGGCACGGAGGCCTACGCGTCCGCAAATGTTTGACCTCAAGATGGACCGCAGTTGCAGTCTATGAGCCATTTAGCCAATCAAGCACTGAGAGCGCACCACGTGACCTTCCGCTTGAGTGCAGCGACACGCTGAAGGAAGGTGGGACAAGTACTCCGCTGCATCGGCAGTATAGTTTGTAGTAGGGTGCCTCAATGTCCTTCTGGGTTGCCTCAATGTCCTTCTGTTTAGGGTGATGCCACCCTTTGCAGTACCCGATGCTGACAGCACGCGCTCACGGGTAAAATACAAAGGAATCGACGAAAACAGAATGTCTCCATAGCACAGTCAGTGCCACAAACGCATCCAGGAACACACTCTTTCATGCGCTTCTGAACAAACAATAAACGTGTGGGACAAAATGGCGAAATGCCACTACCCTAAGCAAAGCGCACATGGAGGCACCCTAGTTTGTAGGGCCGGCTGTGGTCCATTTTAATGAAAAACAATCTTTTCTTCAACGTGTTCAAAATGTTACCTAACAAAAAAAAAAAACACGGGTCGTCGGATGCAACGTTACTGGCAATGATTCGCCGACGTGCCGCACCTTGGAAGGAGGCCGGCGGAGGAGGGGAGGAGGGGGAGGGAGAAGAAAATGTTCCTTTGTATATATTTTTTGTAGGTTTGTCAGACTAGCAAGGGCCTGCATGCCGCTTGTTCAACCACTTTTTCATTTTTCTTTAAAGTCCTCTTTTATCATCTTCAACTGAGCATTCGAGAAACGTTGTTCGCTGTTGTGGCTTTACTGGAATTTTGTTTGGTAACTGACACTTCCAAATGTGAGTACTGTTATATAATATTACCATGCACTTAACACTAATAATTTATGCTGTGTAACTGGTTCTGAGTCCTTCAGACCGGGTCATATGCCTAGAGCGTTGTTTGCGATAAAAAGTAAAAATGAGAAGACAAAGCATCGCCACGAGATCTTTAGGACAGCGTTTTTCCACCGGAACCCGAAGCGCTGTCAAGATGTAGTCACAATTTATTATACGAGCGAAATGTTTTAACCCGTGCCAAAACAAAGACGCTTGGCCCGAATAACTTCTAAAATTTGTTTAGGTACGACGCAAATGTTTTTTTTTTTAACATTGTTTATGTCGTCTCCGCACGGGCGACCTCGTAACCTTTGTGCAAAATTATTTCGGCCATTCGCAAGCAGCAGACTCCCGGCGAATGCTGCCCAACTTGCTGTGTCTTTCAAACCGTTTTGTGAGAGGCACCTCGCGGATGGCTGTCACGAATTTGAACGATCTTCTATGGTTTTAAATTCTATTTTCGCAAGCCAACTTGTTGACTACCGATAGTTGTCTGTCTGGCGTGCGAAGAAGCCACCGACACCCTCTGGAGAGGGGTGCCCAGTTGAGACGGGGCACCTCAGGGTTGTTGCCATCTTTGGTGCGTTTTAATGTTTTGCTATTTTTAGAGACTAATACCTTCTGCACATGTTTGTGTTCGTTGGGAAGCTAGGGAGTAGAACTATTCATGTAGAACACGGTGGGCGGCTTCCTTGTAAGGCAAGGTCGACACAATGTTTGCCAGTATGTGAGCCATTGGCTAACCTAAGCGAACGCTTTGGGGAGCTAGTTGAGAGTGGCAAGCTGGCCGGTGAGTTGGTCGGCCAGCGTGCAATTTTCTCAGCCCAGCATGTGCGTGTTCGTAGCTTCAGAAAGCGAGCGAAGCACACACTATACGCACGAGCACTAAAGATGGCACCGACCACAAGCTCTTTTTTTGGAAAGGTCTATAGACCCATCCCGAAATTACGCCCTCTTCTGGCAGTGTTTGAAATACTGTACAGTTGCGTGTGCAAAAGACACCATAAAAAAGGAAAGCCGATCGCTTATATGTAGTTCACTTAAGAACAGTATATTGCAAGTAATAGCCTTGCCACATTAATGATGTCTTTTGCGCACGTCACTGTGCTGGGTTTTCAGATCTGCCTGAAGAGGGAGTAGTTCTGGGATTGGTCTATTGCAAATATCTCGTGCTCACAAAAGGCTGCTGGAAGTGCTAGGTCAATATTCGAAGGTGGAGTTAGGAACCGGTTCGAACTTACTAAAACCAGTAACCGGAGTGATATTATGTGCGCTACCCTAAACCGAACCGGAACAAAATACAATGCTACTGAACCCTAACCCGAACCGAAATAATGACCGGTCTGACACCCTGCCTACAACAGCAAGTGTTGGCAAAAGCGAACTATCGGAGGATTCACCTTATCTGACAAAGGGATGGACGGACAGTCATATGGACGGTTCAGCTTCATCTTAAACGTTCGTGCAGCGGTGTCGAAGGCACGTCTGCTAGACTTTGGAAGCTGCCTCCTTCGCACGAGTACTATTCGTAAGGGTCAATGCTCTCGTGTCGTCTCCTTCGATGGAGCTGCACGCTATTTTCGGGATCCAGCATATGCACCAACTCATCTCTGTGACGTCACGGCGCGGTGGTGGCGCGTCGGTCGCACTTCCGGTCTGGGGCTGTGGGCAGAAGTCCCCATGCCAGACGTGTATTCCTGCGTTGTTTTGAAAGGAACCAGACAAAAACCTGCCTTCTCGTCGAAACGCCGCGACTGGGGCCGTACCAAAAGTGTCGAGAAAGGTTTGAAGGTCAGTTTTCAGGTGCTCGGTTCGTCCGAGAATCTGGATATGTGCCGTAAAAAGGCCTTCGGACAACGATTGCTTGGGCGGGAAGCACTTTGGGTTGAATTCACGGACACTTGTGGTCATCAAATTTATTTGTTTTGTTCCAACATGAACGCCAGAAAACTGTCAAGTTGTGCGGACAACCTGTGGACTACGTTCAGTGCGTCTTCAAGCTCAAACGGCCGCCTGATCGTTCGAACGGTCGTCTGCTCTTTCAAACGTTTCTGCTTGTTGTCTGCTCTCTTAGACGACGCCGGCCGTAGATTAAATGTTGGCCCGGTACTTGCTATACGAAGTAAGTGCAGGCCTCAAAAGACTTAAGTTTGAAGGTTGGTAAGTAGGCCGAAAAAGGGCAGGGGGACTCACACTGACGCCGACAACATTGCATTTCAATGGTTTGTTTATGGGCGACGGCGAGCTTTTTGCCCACACCCCCATCGCGCATGCGCGGCGCCGGCGGCGTCCGCTAGGGGCGCTCCGGTTTGTTTGTAAACATGAGTTGGTGTATATTTAAAAGGTGTATATCGAGAAATAGTTAAAAATAGCAGGATTGTAAGGAAGGAGGCAACTGACAAGGACAGCTGTTGCACGCACATTTCCGGCTGCTGCAGATACCCCAAGTACTACGACGAGACAACACGCACCCTGGTGAAGGCATACGGCATCACCTTCGTCATGTTGGTCCAAGGCCGGGCAGGCAAGGCGAGCCCCATCCCCATCGCCATCAACATGGGCTCTGGCCTGGGCCTGATGGTTGTGGTGAGTGAACCGAGCAAAGCAAGCTCTTTTCCGCACTGTCGCAACAAAGGCACTGGTAACACGGAAGGTAGCGTTGCTTCACGATGATGTTGCACAGACGAACTTGGCGTGCACTTCGTGCCTTGGCAGCACGAACGTCTTCGTCCGTAGCATTTCTGAAAGAAAGCCCCGTCAAAGCTAGTGCACGAGCAAGAGTGAAACTCGACATTCACATCCAGTACATTCGCTCGCCCACGCCGTTTCACCACTCCCCGTCTTCTCTGAAGCATCTGTTTGTTCTCTTCGAGGTACAGACTTCTTTTATTTTACTGCTTTTTGAAAACGAGCCGAGCATTGTGCGACCATTAATAATAACTTTATTTTCCAAATGAATTGGAGGAACAGAAGGGAAAAAGACTCCAGTGGGGGCTTGACGAGCCCGAAGCCCCATACGATGACAGGCGCAGCAGCACAAAAAAAAAAAAAAGGAAAGAACCTCCTCGCCTGTCGGCAGTGATTTGCATCCGAGCGGGGGGACGGAAAGAGGTTCCCCCGGTGAGAGAGTGAGAGGAGAGCCCCCCAAGCCAGGCGGCCCTCCGCCTCACGAACAAGTCGGAGCTCACGGCGAAGGAGGCCGAGCGTTCCGACCCGCGGCCGTTATCACAGCCATCGGGGAAAGGAGACCAGAGGAATCCCCACAAACATTTAATCTCGAACTCTCCGCTTGCATAGCAGCAGCCTCTCCACGCGAATGGAATGTCACTAAAATTGTGCGCGTCTTGTAGTTAAGCGGAGCCGTGGACCTTGTATCCTCTTTGCAGGCATATCTGTGCAGCCCATGCACCACTCTAATAATGAGGCATGCAATCCAGTTTACGGTGCACGTAGGCAAGCTTGGAACGAAAAAGTGAAAAGAATGGAAGAAATGCACGCAGCATCTCCGCACAGTTTGCGTTTTGTCTATAGCTCGTTCTATCTGCATCGATCTACGCCCACACAGAGAAGTGCGGGGCTGTGTATTTGCGGTATGTGTTGTGGGCTATGCTCAGCGTCTGTTATGTGCCACATTGTCAAGCGCAACGGAGTTTCCACGGTGCTTCGACGCTGTCGGTGCTATCCATGCAAGTTTGTGGCTCTGTTTGGCGTCTCCTTTGCACCAGAAGAGTAAAGGAGAACGAAGCCCAAGACACGCTCGTGCAGTGCTGGTGCAGGGCTGCGGCACCGTGGAGGCGACGCTAGCCTCGATGACGTGGCACGAAAATGTCTACACAGAGCGTAAGCTGAACTCGTAAACCAAATGAGGTGATGTACACCTAGTGCAGACTGGTTGGGGAGGTACGGAATAAAATCAAACTGCCGCGGTATTTGCTGCGAGACTCAACGTCCGGTTTGTTTGGTGCTTTCCCTTTCCCAGGCCATGGTGGTGTGCGACCTGGTTGTGGTCCACTGCCTCAAGCGCAGGAAACTCTACAAAGCAAAGAAGTACAAGTTTGTGTGCAGCGACGAATACTATGAGGTGAGTCGGCTGAAAGAAGTGAGAGCAAGCGTGAGCGTTGGTTACGTTTGGGCGGGGCGACATCTGAACGTGGAACCAGAGGTCGGCATTTTAGGTCACCCTCACTCACCCTCACCCTAACAGCCACACTTACCTAAGCCTCTCACTCACCCTCACCCTCACAGCTACGCTCACCTTTTGCACCTAACTCACCCTCATCCTCAGTCACATTCACCTTCAGCCCTTCACTCTCCCTCACGCACTCGTGGCCTTCTAGCCCCTCGCGCCACTCACCGCCCTCACGTCCCACACGCACTCATGGCCCTCACGCACTCACTGCCCTCACGAACTCGTGGCCCTCAGCACTTGCCGCCCTCACGCACTCGTGGCTCTCACGACCTTCATGGCCCTCACGCACTCATGGCCCCCACGCCCCTCACGCACTCACCGCCCCGACGCCCCTCATGCAGTCATGGCCCTCACGCCCCTTTCTTACTCACCGCCCTCACGCACTTATGGCCCTCACACTCATGGCCCTCACCACCCCCACGGCCCTCATACCCCTCACGCGCTCACGGTCCTCGTGGCCCTCACTCACCTTCAGCTCATCTGTGGAGATGAGGGTGAGTGAGGGCCCTCATGAGGGAGGTTTGCCGAGGTATGCGCGAGCTGCTCAAAACGAGGCAACTTTCCTGCCACTCCCTTTTCCTTTCCTTTGGGACCGTCATGTCTGGCACAAATCGACTTGAAAAGTGCATTTTATGGAGAAATGCACACCTCCCTCATATTAGCACTTCTAAGAGAGCCGCGAGTATGAGGTAATAGCTTTACACGGTCTATTTCACCTTAGCAATAAAGCCAAGGATGTACAGTTGACTCTTGATAATTTGTAACTCTTGGGAACAGCAAAACACTTCAGATCAGGCAAACTTTGAATTAAAAAGAAAGACATTTACAATTCATTGTAACGTCGAATTAGAGCGCAGCTTTTGAGGAGGAGGAGGGGAGGGTATGCCCCTCCTCCCCCGCTTCTGCTCCCCACCTACGTATTTAGCTTGAAATTTTCGCTAAATTTAGCGGAGAATTTTTTCAGGTAAAACTTTTCTTCCGCTAAATTTAGCGTGAAAATTTTTACCCCAAATTTAGTGGGGAAATTTTCCCGTCAAATTTAGCAGGGAAATTTTTCCGTTAAATTTAGCAGGGAATTTTTTCTGATAAATTTAGTGGGAAAATTTCCCCACTATATTTAGTAGGGAATTTCTTCCGCTAAATTTAGCTGGGAAATTTATCCGCTAAATTTGGCGAAAAATTTCTTCCGCAAAACTAGCGGGAAAATTTTTCCGCGAACTTTAGCATGAATTTTTTCTGCGACATTTAGCGGGAAAATTTCCCTGCTATATTTAGCGGGGAATTTTTTCCGCTAAATTCAGCAGGGAAATTTGGCAAAAAAAATTATTTTGTGGGTTTATTTTTTTGCTAAATTTAGCGGGGAATTTTTTTTTTTTTTTTTGCTAAATTTAGTGGGGAAATTTGTCTGCTTAATTTAGCAGGGAAATTTTTCCGCTAAATTTAGCAGGGAAATTTTTTTCACTTAATTTTCCCGCTAGATATAGCGGGGAAAAGTTTTCGCTTAATTTAGAAAGAAATTTTTTCCTCTATATTTAGCGGGAAATTTTACCTGCTACATTTAGCGGGAAAATTTCCTTGCCAAATTTAGCGGGGAAATATTCCTGCAAAATTAAGGTGCCGTGTGACGTTATTATGGGGAGGTTCTATAATGCAAAGTGCAATTATGCCGATGGCGACACCGCTCAAGCCGGAAACGGGTGCTTAAAGGGACACTGACAGGGTATTTATGCTCGCCGAGGTTTTTAGTTGTACGTGACATATGAGAGCTCAACTACCCAGAACAGAATTTGCGGCTCGAAATTCGGTTTCTTTCCGCCCGAAAACCGCCGATCAAGAACTGGCCGGTTCGAGTCTCGCTCACTCTCTTTTCCGCGGTCACGGGCCGTTTTCTAAGGTATCGATGCGACCACCAAATTTAATAAAAAGTCGTGGGTCACTGAAGGCACACACTCAATATTAAAAATAGAAAAAAATATGAAACCCATTTTTTGTGGCTTCTAAAAAGCTGCAAATACGTTGATTGAAAAAAAAGTTTCACAGACAACCGGAAACATTCTGTGCGTGCGTCGTTTCGCCTATCGTGGGACTCGCAGGGACGCAATGGCAGCGGACGACGGGCGTGGGACCTCTATTTCAGAACTGTCGTTCGCGGTACCGGCGAATTCTGTCTACCGTTAAAAAAGAAATTTGGGACTGATCAAAAGAATTGGTATTCATCCCGTACGACACGCCCGACCACCAAGCCGATTTGCACGAAGACGTCGCCGAGCCGTCGCTCCCTTCTTGTGGCTGAAGACATCGCTCGCGCAAACGTCAAGCGCAACGTGTCTACTTCGAGTTGAATATGCACGCGTACGATTTCTTTACTAGGTGTGTCGCCAATGCGTGGTGCATCCCGACTTCGACCTGGGAGTGCTTTTGCTAGAGGAAAATCGGCAGCAAACTTTCCAACTTAGTTTATCAGCTGAATTATTACTAAGGAAAGAGATACCCCAGTTTCGATATGCTCCTGTAGCTCAGTGGGATAGACGTCCCCTTCACACGCGGTGGGACCGAGTTCGATTCCCCGTGAAACCTTTTTTCTTTTTTTTTTTTAAATATTTTATTATGTCTATGTATCTTTTTTTTTTTTACAATTATTACTGAAGAAACAAGCAAAAAAAAAATATAAGAAACAAATGTTGTGGACGGCACCTCGCTGAATTAAATGGTATGGGATTTCCTTTTTCACACCTGCGAACTCAATGTAATCACTTTCCACAAAATGCAAGGAGCATATAAATCAGGTAGCGTCCGCTTTCCGAGGTGCCCGTAAATGGTCTACAGGAATTGCAGCCAGCCATTGGTCCCGATCCCGTTGATCTTTCGGAAACTCTGCCGCACAATGCCACTTCTGTTTCGGACGCGGGACATGTGAGCCAGCTCTTCACGCAACATCTTGGGTGTATTCTTTTCAGAGCCGATCAAAATTCACCACGGGCACTCACTACTCATCTCCAACTCCTCAATGTACAAAACAACTCATCTTGGAGTACAGAACAACGAGCGGAACATACATAACTGCAAAAGAATCCCACGGCGAACAGTTCCCATACGCCGCTTGTCGTCTGCTACCGGGAAGGAGAAAAAAAAACGGTCGGGTGTAGCCACGTGACTTCCGCCACTCGCTCTCTTCTCTCCACTTCTCCGACCTCCGTCGGGTTTCGGTTTCGGTTTCGAGCAGTTGCGTCTTTTGGCTTTATTAAAAAAATACGCTACTCTGTTGCAAAATATTAATTGGGTACTCCTCCGACACCATAATGAAGCGCCTGGCAAAAAATGGAAAAAATATTTTGGGGGGTGTCAGTGTCCCTTTAAGAGCTGCGCTGTAAAAGACACACTCAAACCATGTCTTTTGTAGATTAAGTAGTCGCTCCGAAGCATTTGTTGAGTTTTCCTCGCCTCTGCTATGACGCGGAACGCAGTTTCTGCGTCGGCGGCGCTCGGCACGTAACGCGACGCGGCGGTCCCTGGGCCTAACCACTTGCACAGTTTCACTGTCCAAAGGCAAACAACAGACAGCGGCACATTCACCAACGTCTGTACATTTGATGGACGAAACATTTTCGACTGGGTAACTTCTCCGGTGCAGCTTCCCTGGCTATGTGCCCCGTGTGACCAAGCTGCCGATCGCTTTCATAACATCCGTGGCTATGGTGCCTGCAACGTGTCTTCAACCGGCGCGCGGGGGTTCGTCTCCCCTGCACGTCGAAAGCGGTCCCGAGGTGGTAACAGACGACGCTGCAAAAACCAGAGTGTCACGCTGCCGGACGTCGCGATCCTGGCTGGTTGGCACTAGAAGTCTCGGTAAAGGGTACCGCCGAACGCGAGCATTGTCGCATAGTCCCAACTCCCGGCTGCCAAAGTTTCCGTGGACCGTCGAGCCGACCTGCGGCAAAACGGGGCGTCTGCCCCATCTATCTTTACCGCCGCGACACCGCCAGGGCCGTTGCCGGCGACAATGGGACACCTCTACATTGCTGTCGGGCGGAAATCGAGGGACCGCATTTTAGGGTACTGTAAAATGCACCAATCGGAGACCCGTTCTTGGCATTGTGTCGCCTTCAGAAGCTTCCTACCTCAATGCTCTGCACGCACAACTGATCTCTATCGTAGTAGGCTGGGTCGTGGATCGAGAGCCACGACCCAGCCCCACGACCCAGACGACCCACAACCCAGACCCACGACCACGACCCAGACGAGGTGGCACCACCAGCGGCCGTTACTTGACATTAGGCAATACATGCGAGGCTATGGGAGAAACGCGCAAAAGTAGGAACTTTGAAGCTTGTAGGCGGTTCAGCGAAGTCGAGTATTTTACGACGTGCTGCAATCATTATATCGGGTGTTTGGAGATCAAATCGGTATCTGTCAAGCGTTTGAATGCACATTCAAGAAATGGTACGTGCCAGAGCACCTGCGGTGGAGCTGGCAAGCTTGCTCTCGTCGTGGAGTAAACAAAGGAACTTGCCATCAAGAGGACTATCCTTGGGGAAGCCCAGTAGCTGATGAATGTCGAAAAACTTTCATGTTGACAGCGGCTTTCCAGGATTGAGCGAATTCTGCATAGTAAAGCCTTCAAGCTTACCATCTGCTAAACCCAACTCATCGAAACTGCCACTGACTCCCCGATAACTCTAGGTAACTCTGCCCTCAATGAGCCGTACTAAATTTTTCACCCTGCGGAGTCACGCTCGACCACAGAACGTTTATTTGTTAGAACTGTGAGGGCTGTCAGTTTTAATGTTTGTACACAAGCTATTCGACAGGCTTCTTGAAACCAGAAAGATTTGGTGCCAACAGCAGCTTAGAAACGGGAGAAATGGCACTTTTTCTCCTTTTCCCGTAGAGTCCCATGTATTAGCTGGTGTCAAGTGATGGCTGCAAGTGGTGCCACTCGACCCCAGAAAGACAAGCCTCGCTTAAACCGCATGGTTGCCATTTAAGATCGCTTAGCGTAATCGCGAGGCTTTTTCATTTTTCCGAAGTTAGCGGTCTTCTGAAGCACACAGAAAGCATCTTTCGAAATAAGCATGCCCCATGCTTCGAACTAACCGAAAGCTCGAATAGAGCAACTTTGAATTGTCGAGGGTCAACTGTAAAGAGCCAGTGCCTTGACATGAAATGCAAATTGGCTGCCAAACCAAGAGAATCTGGAGGAGCTACCTTCAGCTGTACATGTGCACTACAGTACACTTTAAGCAAAAGAATGTGAAATGCACGGCAGAACCTTTCTTCGAGCTACTTGCTACTAGCATTTGAAGCCTTTGCAGATTCTGAACTAATTAGGTGCTGGCAAATGCAGCTTTTTACGTCGGGGATACAATTCACATTAGGCACATTTAGTCGCTTGCACAACCCTCCACCGGCGCAGAAAAGACAGCGCCTGTGCAAAACATTGCATGCTTCTGACTAGCGGTCCTAAGTCGGCTGCACATGAGCTACACCTTCTCCTCCCTAAGGCCCGCTTCAGATGGAGCAATTGCTCCCAGCAACTTGACATTACTACACCAGCAACATGGTGCCTCCGCATTCACACGCAGCAACTGAATTGCTACGTTTTGCGATCATCGTTATTCAATTTGAGTTTTCTTGCTTTTTTTAGACAGAGTTACATGGTATAAACATGTTTTGATCTTTTTAAATGGCGTTGAGAATAGTAACTCAACATCCTGGAATGATTTATTCCTGAAATGATCCATTTCAAACCAGAACCAAGTTAAACCCCATCTTTAGTTGTCATCATTGCCACCACAGTGGAGTCACGTGAAAATATTGAGTCTCTAGTTGTCTGCTGCCACTTCAAACGTCTGAGTTGCTCGCCCGTTTCAAGCCGGACTCTATCCCAGCAATCTGTGTTGCAGCGCGAGGATCTAGGGAAAGCCAGGGAACAATTCGCCAGGGAACAATTCGCCAGCAAAACCGAAATTGCTGGGAAAATTGCCCCGTCTGAAGCAAATTAAACAAGGAGGTGCGAGCAAATAGTTTAGTGCTCTGGTTTGTCCCTTGTTGGACCAATAACTCGCAATATTTCAAGAAACTCTCGACTTTCCTAGTGTACATCATACATTCTCCTGCTAATCTTTTGTATTTTATCTTTGCTGCAGAACTTTTCAAACCAGTCCGTACCATGACTGCTCTCCAGGGGTCGGCTGGTCGGCCAGTCTCTTCAAGGAGTGCACGCCCATGACCCTCGGCTTGCTAGTCCCACTGCAATTCCTGTTAAGTCTAGCTTGGCAAGGCAAGCAGATGCCCCATGTCCAGGCACAGAAAGTTTTGTCTTCGGCAGTTTTCGCTAGTCTCCAAAGTTCTGTGGTAAGCGCTGTCAGCGAGCACCTAGCAATGGGATTTGGAACATTATAACAAGAAGAGATTATTTTACGAAGCATACATTGCTTTTGTCTAGCATTATTTTTCCTCCATCAATGGCCATCGAAATCCAAGTTCTCCTCGGTTTACAAGACACTAAAATAATGTCTGCAGAGTGCTGATCACAGAACTTTTGGCGCTAGCTCCGACACTTGGGATCAGTTTTCTAGCACATAGATCTTTGGCCTCTAGGTAGAAGGTAATCAAGATGTTTGATGCTCTTTTTATGTTGAACCAAACATGGGTGTGTCATAATAATATTTAGTGAGGTCTTTATAAGATTTAGTCAAGTCTTGTCAACCATGCTGCAAGTTTTTGGATTGCATTTCTTCAAATGCAGACTTGATGACATGTTACGCAGGGATTTAATTGCAACAGCTTTTCGATTGATTAGCAGAACATGCTATTTTTGTGCTAGTATTTGTTACTACAGGGTGATTCAAGGAGACGCCAGGCTCTTTAAATTGACTGCAAAATTCGGTTTCTTAACCTATCGCGCTACGACTGTGTGCAGCGTTGCCCACAGATGGTGCATTTTTTTTGGTGAAATTTGCAAAGAGCGAACTTACCTGAGGAAAAAGTAAAGAAAGAAAGACTTAGCTCCTATGGAAACGCAGTGACGCCACCGGTCTTCAAACAACACGGCGCCGTTTCGCATGGGACACAAGAGATGGCGCAAGCGGTCGCGACACCAACTGCTTCCAACAAACGTTTTTAGCAGACAAGGAACTGCAGTTCCTTGTTGTTACCGCGCATGTTTTTGTTTCTGCGACTGTCGCCGCCTGCGGAACGCGCGCCGCTTTTGAGTCGACAAGATTGTCTGCTAAGACGCCGGCTCTCGGCGCCGTATGCTCGTTCGTTGGCGGCGTTCGTTGCACCATCTCTTGTCTCCCGTGCGGAACGGCGCCATGTTGTTTGAAGACCGGTGGCGTCGCTGCGTTTCCATAGGAGCTAAGCCTTTTTCTTTCTTTACTTTCTCGTCAGGTAAGTTCGCTCTTTGCAAATTTTACAAAAAAAATGCACCATCTGTGGGCAACGCTGCACAAAGTCGTAGCGCGATAGGTTAAGAAACCTAATTTTGCGGTCGATTTAAAGAGCCTGTCGTCTCCTTGAATCACCCTGTAGATGCCCGGTCTACCCTTCCGCTCTCTTGAAGTCACACTTCGGATCATGAGCTTATCTACAAGCTACTTTCTGTACATGCTAATCAAGGTGTTCGATTCTTATCTTGCATTTAATATGGGTGTGCCATAATCAATATTTAGTCCAAGTTTTCCATTGTATTAAGCATGCTATAAGCTTTTAAGTTGCACTTATTCAAATCGAATCTGTTGTAGCCTCAAGCAGGGATTTATTTTTAATATCTGTTTGGTTGAGTAGCATGATATACCATTTTATCTAAACAGCATATATTATTACGTACCTGCCCGATCTAACTCCAACGAAATTCCGAGCCCATCTTTCCGAGCTGGTCTGCTGCACATAAGCGGACATGGCTGCACCATCTTTTGAAACTAACAGTTCATACTCATAACTTGAGCTTCAGCTGGACACATGGCCAATCATTTTTCGGCTTTTGAAGGATCCGGAATGCGTAAAGACTTTGCAGTGAAGGGTGCACCAGATCGTCATCAGTGTCTACTGCGTTGGGGAAGTGGGCTCCGCATGTGATACTTAACTGCAAGTTCCAATTGGTCGAGATCAAAGTTTCCAGTTGGTCAAGATTAAACAGTACTCTATACTATGAGATGCCCATTATTCCGCTTCAGCTCTACAAGGACAAAGTGAGAGCATGTGAGAGCTTGAACAATAACTTTTTTGCACAATTGCAAGAGTGTGTGTACGCTGGGAGCGGCTAACGGATAACATATCTACATAGTATCAATGTCCATTCAGCAGCAAATGATAAGCATTTTCATAAAACTTGACACTGATTGGAACTGTGCGAGATGCCTTTCGATGTCTGGTATACCCAGGAGGCATACTTTTGTGACATTTATCTGTTTACCAGGCTCTTCGGGGCGTATCATGATCATTGAGCTGTTTCCAAATCATGGGACAGCTCTTCAAGGGCAGTGATGTGCAGTGTGAAGAGCCTGCGGTGCTTAGGAGAGGTTAGACCCAAGGGGGATATTTGCCGACCCATTCCTTTGTGCTATGCCACTCATTCCAAACAGAAAAGAAAATGGTGACTGATGAACCTACACTAGTCTGCGAATGCTAAGAGTTGTCTGTGATGTGCACTTGACAGACGCCGAGTCACCTGTACAAATTGCTCGTTCCTTTTTATACGCTGTTTACAAGCTTTGTATAAGTTGTCTGACAATTAAACATTTCCTTCGTTCAAATATTGTGAATCTGTTTCTCTGTCTTGAAGCATCTTAGCAGTATTTGTGGCCAATAGGACAAAGGGAATTAAAGTGCCACAAACACAATTTTAATTTAAAGGTCTTACAAAGGTTATTAGACAAAAATAAAGTTGCATTATTTTTTATATGGAATCTTCATGGGTTACTAAATGTACATGCCAAGTTGCACAATACATAGAGCTCTAGTAATTTAAATGTTTTATGTTTGTAGTTAACACTTTCTGACCAAGGCAACCCTGACAGAACTCCAATGTAACCTGCCAGTGGGAACTAATGCTTGTCAGGTACCCATAAACCAAGGGGTGGGGGGGGTAAGGAAGGAACAGAACGTGCCAAAGCGGACATCGGTGATTGCGAGACAAGAAGTTGGAAAGAGCGATGAAAAAGTGGAGAAAAAAAGCAGACAGTAGGTTAGACGTGTTCGTTTTGCTGTGACAAGTTGAAGTTGCTCAAGTGCTTAACTTTATTTTATACAATGTGTGAAGCCGGTGTTTTTATACAAAATAAAGCAAGAAAAACATTGGACTGAATAACTGGTGCAAAAGACTGAAGACAATTTGTAGTACACACACACAGCACTGACTGACAACTAAAAATTCTACTTCTGTATGATACAGCAAGCAAACATGATACTGAAAAAGACAGAACCGAAAACAACCCAATAACGTAATGCAGATACAATTAACAAATTCCACCTCGTTGCCCACCAGGACTACCGACGTGCACCAATGCACATGCCTGCTTTATAGCTGGCAATACAAAAAGCCTTGCAAATTTCTCTGGCAGTCTTAGTTCTGTGCCATGCTAAAATCTTAATCTCATTAACATGTCCCGATGGGCTTGATTGGAAGAACAGATAAAAGTGATTGACGTAGAAAAAAAATACTGCAACAAGGTGTGGAGTTGGGCGGGTTGGTTGAGCACTATTGAAGTGATAAAAACAGTGCAAATAATGAAAGACAAGTTGAAGAAGTACAGAAAGAGCTGTCTGACAACTGAAAATTTTACTTCTGCACTTGCTGTACTATGCTGTATCGTGCACAAGTAAAATTTTCAGTTGCCGGTCAGCATTGCGTGCGTGTACTTATTAACTTGTCTTTCGTCTTGTGCACCGTTTTTTTTTTTTTTTTTTTTTTTTTTCAATAATGCTCTATCAACTAGCCCAGCTCCATGCCTTGCAGCGAGAGAAACACTAGGTAAACACCTTGCCAGTGATTTTTTCCTGCTGCTTTGTTAAAGCATCGCCAGCAATCTCGTCCCACCGGGATGTCCACGTCCATACCCCGCTGTTCCAAAGTGGCCGCATTGCATGGGACCTTTTCCTCTTGAACATTATATGAACTCTGTGCATAAATCGCCGTTGTTGCTACACCGATTCTCGACGAAACGCGTAGGCAGTCAGCGCGGGGGTTCCGACTCGGCGAAGGATGGGAATTTTGACCTCGCAACCGTTTGCATAATGTTGTCTTCCGAGAGCCAGTCTGTTCTTCCGGGCACTGGAAGTTTCGGATGCAGCTACCACAGCTACCCTCAATCGCCACCTACGGTCTGCGTACTGTTTGCTCTGTGTTTGCGAAATGTAGATCTTGCGTTGGAGTATGACGAGCAGAAAGCTTTTCGAACCTTTTTAGATCGTGTGTACCACTCGGATATGTGTAGTTGCATTAATCCTTTAACGCGAGCACACTTTCAAAGTGGGCGCGAGCTAGCAGACGACACGACGACCAAGCTTGAGTGTGCACTTCCAAGTGATTGGGAGACGCACGACAGTGCATGCGTAGTGAACCATGCCTCGTGTCGTTGCACCTGTCGCATTCCCTGCAAGAGCGAGAGAAAGTAGACGTAACGAGCGAACAAACGGAGGGAAAGAGCACTGCAGAAACCGCACTGCAGCCTCTCAAAACCGGTCCAGTCCAAACCACAGCACGTGTCGTCCAAACGAGAGAAGGCTGCATGCACCGGGGCAATAACTGCCAACGCATTTAAAACCACGAGACGCCGACCGAGCAAGTGAATGCTTTACCAAAGCTCGCTACACTCTCGTTCAATGCCAATCTTTCTCTCTGTTGGTTTCCTCCCCGAAATGGAAGACGATTCTGACAAAGCGAGTGATGCTGAATGTTCCGTCAGATCAAGTGGGAGGGGAGCGGGAATGAGCGAACACGTGGGAGCCAGGAATGCCAGGGAACGGTCCGAGCTGCTCTACAGTAGTCTAGAAGGGATGGTGCACGGTCAACAGCAATCCCATCGATCGGCATATGGGGTGAAGGTACACAATTTAAATGGGAGCAGCATTGCCACCCTTCCTCTGCAGGGTGGGTCAGCATGCGGTCGAAAGAAAGGGTTCACAATCACGGATGCAGCGCAAAGAGCAGTTCTGGCGCTGGTGTTGACTTTCAGATTACACGCACGCCGAGACACTAACTGTACAACCGCTCTTGCCCGCCGTGTGAAGTGAGAGATGCATCTTTCCCTTCTACCCCCTCATAGTTGCACGTTGTACAGCTGACAGCACTGCCAGATGACTTGATCGACATTTGTTTTCAATCGTGGCAGCATTTCTCAATGGCTGAATCCTAGGGTCGCGCAATAGACCCTTTGCAAAAATCCCAAAAGCACACGCGCAACGAATAATAGGAGCCCTTGGTACGCCCCTCCTCCCGCTACCACGTGAGCAGGTGCAGGTTACCACGGCAACAACTTATGAGCAGCAGAGTCTGGCTAGCGACGAGCCAACGGCTGCCCCTTTCTCATCCCCCTTTGTACCGGCTCTGTCGTCTGCTGCACCAATGCTTTGTCGAAACTGGTCGAAACCTGCCACGGTTGCGGCACAAAGTAAGTGGACTCGGTGACACTTCAGTACGTGAAGGTAAGTTACGACGAATAATGTATTCAATTAAGTTCACCTGTCGCGATGCCTTTACGTTGCCGCAGATACGGTACGCCGCCAACGACGTACAACTCGGGGGGTGGGCGGGATGGCTGCAACGGCTGCTGGCGGTAGCTGCCGGGACGTGCGCACAGTCGCGCAACGGGAAAGCGCGTGATCTGTACCGAGGGTTCCCAAAATTCCCTGCGATTGCGGCGCTGTATGTTTTGTAATAGGTCTATTGACCTGCAAAAAACTGCTGCGCTTGACACCGTGACATCGTTCTTGGGCTTGCACTGTTTTTGTGCTAGGCTGTTCCCGAAGCAAGAACTGCGTCGCAGGTCAGATTTTACGCTGCCAGTGCATTATGGTCTGTGGATTCCCGGACTCTGTTCCCTGGAGTTCTGTAGAGTACCCTCAAGGGTTCCCCCAAGGTCCCAAACTTCCTCGACCATCTGTCCCGAAGTAAAGTGTACTTCCAGTTTAAGCACTATTTTATAAGATCTGAACCACCCATCAATGCATGATCACTATATGCCAGACACTTCCCATAGTATGTTGCAGCTCAAGAAGGTATGGTGAGGGAAAGAAAGGCCAAGGAGGAGAAAGCAGATGGAATGCTGGAGAATGGTTTCCCCCTTTCATCCAGTGTTCCGTCTGGTTCCTCCTCCCCAGCCTCCCTTTCCCTTGTCCTACCTTCTTGAACTGTAGCTTACTATAGCACGGGCATTACATTACTATGCACATAAACTTCTGCGCTGCACTTCTACATTAATCCCAGGACGGGTTCGTTCGCACTCGGTCTAGAGAAATGTGCATTTCTCGATATAGAACCACTGGTGTGGCCAATAGCAGCAAAAATTATTTTCACAGGAAAAGGAACTCCAAGGCTCTTAGATATACATCGGCCAAGCTGCATCCCTAAAGAGAGAAGCTTGACTAGCCGCCGTAAAGAGAAGTTGGATGGCTTGCTGTGGCTGCAGTGGGATAGAAGGGGAGGTGGAGCAAGCTGGAAGGAAAAATGTGCAGCAAATCGCTAAGCAGTTGTGTTGCATCGGTGAAACATTCTAGCATCACAAACGTTTTCATCATTGTTTAGCAGCACGTCTAGCCTGTTCAGCCAGACGCCTACGTTCACGGCGCTCTTCACTGAATAATTTAATGCATGGCATGTCTACACTTAAAATGATAAACCTGGTGATCTCCCAGAACCTTCTAACCCACTCCTCTTTCTCCTCCTCACTCAACCCCTGGTCATGTGACCAGGGGTTGAGTGACCAATTGGCGTTGAGCACCTCACTGTTCTCCAACTTGTCAACCAATCGGGTCGAACCTTGTGGCCACACTTTAATCGAGGCTTCACGAAATGCCGACTTAGCCAATGAATCTTTCACATTAAAAATTGCCTTTCTGCTGAGCTGCGGCTCTCCCGAGCCGAAATAAATCACTATCACTATTTAGTGTGAACGTATATTTTGACTCTCCTTCCCGATTTTGATTGAAATGATTAGACGCACAGTTTCTTTGAAAACAACATTGTGGGCATTTGTTTTACACCTTTCACGCTTCTAAAAAAAATTAACCTTCAAAATTTTATCAGCTTCTTCCCTGCCAAAGGCCTGTGTTGCGGCGAGAGGGGGGGAGCACATTTGGCGCTGCTCCCAAGTTCTGTAGATCAACGATAATGGTGGTAATGATAATTTGCGGCTATTTCTTTGTATTTATTTGGTTTGGTTGCAAGCACTACCGAGGTGCCCGAGGAGCACAGCCAGTGCGGGAAAAATCTCAAAGGCCATGGCAGATCTGGATTACACATTGAAGCATAAACAACCATGAGCTAAACACTCCCTGGTATTATTGTTTACGAGGTCTGTAGACTCGTGCTCTACTTTACTGCAGGGGTCTACAAACCGGGACAGTAAGGGGCCCCTTGGTTTCATTCAAGGAAGGATATCCCTCGAAATCGAACAGCTTCAGAACCCCGGCCGCAGAAGACGAAGAGAGTAGTGCACAAGTGATAAACAGCAAGTGCTCAATTTATTTCGCCAGGTACAAGTTTCATGTGGGCACTTTGAGCCCGGTGATTCGTTCGATGGTATAATGCAATGTGACTGACTTTCTCGGTGGCATATGTATTTCTTATTTTGCCAACTGAGTTTCGTTAAGAAGTAAAGGGCTGGTGGCAGACTCGATGAGTACTGCGAGTGCGATCAGAGTTACAACGAAGAAGGTGCAATGCCGAGATGGGGAAAGAAACAGACGAGGGCTGTGCCCCGCAAGTGGCGAAGCCATTCACTTTTTGGACTTTGCGCCCTTCTTGCCGCGCTTCTTGGCGGCGGCGCCGCTGCTCGTGCCCGCCGAGGTCGCCATTGGCTTGCCCTCGTCGGTCGCCCGTGCCCGGAGCTCAGTCTCGATGTTCTTCCGGATGTTCTTCTCCAGAGCCTGAAAGGCAAGCAAGCGCCAGACACCAACCCTCTTTCGTGTGTGCCAAAGACGGGAATATCCAAAGATCACGCTAGCGTTACAGTGCCAAGAATGCGTTTTCCACTGGTCTGTTTGGCATTCCATCTCGCCCATACATCAAAAGCGGACGCAAACGAGTCGCAAAAGTCGGTGTGTCGCAGCACAGATGTCGCAATCCCAGAGGCTGGGGCTTAAAGTCCCAGGAAAAAGTATGAGCAAATGCGAGTGTCGTTGTCTCAGCATCTCTACTCCCAGCTGCCAAAGCTTCCACGGACTGCCCAGCCGTAGAGCGACTCGTAGCAAGACAGGTGCCCGCCACATCCACTGCTCCGACACCGCCATACTAAAGCTTCTAAACATAGTCATGAGGCGGAAATCGAAGATCCACTTTTTAAGACTTAGCAAACACGCCGGTTGGGTTCGTTCTAGATGCCGTCCTGGCATTCATGACGTTGGGTACAGGGTTTGAGCACCCCTCACTTCTAAGACCGCCAAGATTCACCCAGTTTTCTAACCGCTTCATCAAATTTTTGTTAGAAATGGTTAAGCTGGAGACAATATTGCTGTAAGCGGAAATGTAGCTGGCGATGGGTTAAAAACGATCATCTCGCGGGTGGCACCGTCTTTGTGCGTCGTGCAGATCGGGCGCAATTGGCAACCGTTACTGCTTGAAAATGTGACTTCCTGAATAACAGATATCACAATTATGTTTGATTGTGACGTGCTGGAGAGCCATAAGAGCAATTTCAAAAGAGGACTGAAGCTGGGCGGGATGGAATGCCATTTGGCTGCCCAAGGCCTGCCTAGCCTTGGGCAGCCAAAAGATCCGTTGACGACGTCACATACAGCGACTGTCTTTCGCGTTTTCTTGCGCTTAACAATAATACCTGCGCAGCAAATGGTTTGGGTATTCGGGTGCACGGGGTAAATACACACTAGAATTCACTTCTAACTCATTTTTTTTTCAAGAAGCTCCGTAGCTTCCCTTTAAGTACGGTCTATAAATAATTTTCGTAGTGCAACCCATGATGTGTGCGAGGCTTCCTGAGAAAATCCTTATGCTGATGGAGTGCATTATAACTATAAGTGTTTGGGTGACCTTGTGGTTGAGTATGTAAGGATGTGGGACTAAATAAATCTTTTAGCTGCGTTTGAGACGTTCTCTTCTTCACTTGTCTCTGTCCCTTCTACTTTTAAGTTTCTGTTTCTACCCCAGTCTCGGGTTAAGTTCCATCATGGTACAAGCACATATGGCATCCAAACATACTTCACAATGAGCAAACCCTTGGTTCAGATTCTTATTTCTGTCAATCAAATATTATTTATTCGCAAGCGATTATTTCTTTACCACTCTACAAGTGGTAAAGAGTGAGTGACTGAATTCAGTGAGTCACTGAATTTGTCACGTGAAAAAGATGACAAACCGTTTATACAACATTTATTATAAAATGACCGGTATTAATCGCTCCTTGTAAATTTTTTAAAGCGTGCTGCCCGAGATAACTGTCCAATAAAAATTTATTTTTCTCTTTTATTATTTTGGTACACTTGGCTTTAGGCGTTTCAAAGATACTTTTGGCGGCTGTGGCTGCGTGCCCTCCAACAAAAAATGGCGTCCCTACTCTACAAAGCGAGTTCACAATGGACGCCTCCCGCTCATCAACGTCAACCGCCGCTAAACCTCGGCGTCCTTTGTGATTCCCAAACACAAAGAGCGCGCCAAAACGCCAACCCGGTCCATTCCAGCGTATGGGACACGCGTGGCGCGAACGAGGCCAACTGTTCCTCCCTGCCCGCCAGCCGGCAACCCACATTTCCCGCCATTTTTCTTTTTGTCTCGACTAGCATCACCACGTGATACGCGCCGAAGATGCGCACTACACGCTCCAGAAAACAGAATTTCGTGCGCCATTTTCATCGGTTCGGGAAGGAAGATGCATAAAGGTGCGCACGGCGCACACAGAGAATGGGAAAGGTGAAGACGCTTACCACTTTCACCTGTTGTTTGGCGGTAACTGCCTTCGCTTTCTTGGGGACGGACCGAGCTGGAAATGCACAGAAGCTGTAACACGGCACGGAATGCCCCCGACAGATTCTCGAAAGACGGCGAATGCCCCGCGATCGTGGACGTACCTTTGGAGACTCCTTTGAGCGAAGAACGCGCGCCCGCATTCTTCTTCGCCTTTTTCGGGCCAGCCGACTTCTTTTTCAACTTGCCTTGCGCCATTTTTGAGTGCGTGATGATGTTGCGGTCGATTAGCTTCCTGGATCGAGGGTAGCCGAGTGAGGAGAAGAAATCAGAGTTATCTTTGTTTGAAGACTAAACTACAAATGACAAAATAGGTTATAGATGCATAATTGTCAATGCATTAATACGTTGGAGGTACGTAATAAATTTGTTATTTTCTTGTTTCGGTTTCGTTTTGTATTGGCGGCTACGTTGGCTGACTCCGTAAGTGTGACGTCATGGGTCCAAACAAACCGTTGCTAGGGTCGTTGTTATGGACAAATACATGTGTTTAGGTTTCGCTACGAAAACCCGACTGATCAAAAATCAGGAGTAGAATTTAAACTTCTAAAAATAACAGATATAGAAAGCTTGAATGTCATATATGTTTTGACAGAAGTGTGCCGGTAATCGCTTGTTTCTAAAATATTTACGAGTACAACTTCCGGTCCTCAAGGTGCCTGCAGCAGACGACGAATGCAAGAAGTATGCCGTCTGCCACACGCTGGCTGGCCAAACCGGCGCCTTCGTTTGAATCGTGTGAAGGAAGACAATATTCTGATATTGCATTTGTTTGAAATATAACGAGTTTCAGACACTTATAAGAATTCACAGTGGGGTGCGATGCAAAATATGGTCTATCAAAAGTCCGGGCGTCAATCGAGATGATCGTCTGCTAATAGATCGCATTGCACACGTGAGAAAATCACTTCAGGCGATCGGTTGAGATCCCACATTTTGTTTGCGGACTCGCGCAGTGCGAGGGTGCTTCGTACCTGGTTGTAACCATCGCTGCGATGGTTACTGCATGTGAAATCACGATAGACATGCAATTCTTTAATAACCTGACAACCTCAATAATAATAATAATAATGAACGACTTACCTCGACGGCTTACGATTTGTTTCTCATACTGGCCTACACTACGCCGGTAATGCACTTCAGGTCGTCGCCGTAACTGATCTGCATGACGTGGTTTGATTTTACGGCATTAACACCCCTCTGAACGAAGCTGGGTCCTTCACAGAAAAAAAAAACAAAAAACACGCACATCACGGAAACTTTTACGGCAATGGCGATGCACTTGTTTTTATCGCTCGTCTACCGACGCAATTCAACGAAGACGCCCGCTGCAACAGAGGCCAGCAAATCTATCGTGTCGTCTGCTACCAAAGCAAAGCGGAGTGTAATATTTCAGAAATGGCTTTGATTGCTGCAGTACGACAGTGAGACGACAAGAACTTCTTCATAATTAGATATCAAGAAGCTAGGTTGCTTACAGAAAATTATTTACTTACTTGTAAGCAAAAATCTAGCGTCATGTGGAGTCTCCATGCATTAGTCCATAGCAACGCCCCTGGCAACGGTTTGTTTGGATCCAGACGCAATGTTGTGACGTAGTCACTTACGGGGTCAATTGTCAAGGGCAGCGAAACTTCCAGCGCTTCAGCCCCGCATGCAGCGACCAGTCTCTCTTGTGAGAAGCAGACGTGTTGGTGGTAGCTGGTGGTTGGAGCAGTACGAAAGCAACGCTAGCCTTGACAACGTAGCACAAGGTAGTATGGTCCCTGACTCTAGGGAAAGCTAGAGAAATTAGGAATCAACGTTGTTAGGAATGTGCGAGAAACCGAGTTTTGTATTCGAATAAAATAATTATCTGAATAGTTCGATTAGACTTTCGATTATTTATTAGTATTCGAGTTTACATATAATTCGGGTCATCGATAGAACTGTTATGAAAAATTCAGGATCGTCCTGAATTTTGTAGACGTTCCCTTCTGTGTATGTTCCTTCGGCTATTTTTTTTTTCTTTTCTGCATTACAGCTCGCCTGCACACTCATTCTTTTCACTAATATAGTCCTTACAGGTTTGTGTTTGATGTAAATCAATGCTCACTGCAGCGCTAACCGTAAGGACAGAAAATGATTATTTCTTTTTATTGTTCTTCTTGAACGAAGCAGTCATGCTCCAAGCTTCATGTATGGGCTCGACGAAAACACGAAAATCACGCACGTCGCCCACTTGAATTCGCGGATCATATGCCGATGCTTGCCCCCAGCTTCAAGGAGAGTGATCAGTTGACGGGCTGCAGTGTCCAAATATGCTAGACGAATGAGCCACTTTCTAAAGTTTAACTCCGTTTCACCATAACGACTTGGCAAACAGCGAAAGTTACAGCCACGACGAGTGTCAGGCACCTACCTGCTCTGAATCTAATTTGCTGGTTCGTTGCTCTGATCCGATGGCAGGGAGGAAATAAGGCTATTTTTCCTGTCCAAAATATATAAAAATCAGGTTTATTGTTTTTAAACGAATTGAAACCACTTTTTTTAATGGTTAATTTTTATCTCCTAATTCCCATTTCAACGTGATAGTGTTATTATAGGGAGTTTCACAGCACCACAGGGCGTTTAAAATAATTTTTTTAGGAAAAGAAACTTGTTTGAGTTTGCGTTTCGCTCCGAAATCAAAATCTTTCTCACGGCGTAAATATTGCACTAAAAATAAAATAAATACCCTAAAAAAAAAAAAGCTTTTCAAACACTTTTTTTTCTCTTTTGCCTAATATCTATGCAAAGAGACACATTTTTAATTAGAAGCGAAACCGAAACCAAGCTTGGCGGGGCTTACTTATCATGTCGGATGGCTTGGCGGCGGGTGTCTGCTGTTGTTGTGGCGTTGGAGGTCAATCTGTCTGTCAAACTTCCGTCAAGACTTTGCAGCGCCATGTCTTTTTTCATTTTTTTACCTGTCCGTATGGACGGCTATATTGCTGTTTCCTTGCGAATACACACAGCTGTGTCTAAAATTTCGCGTAGTATTGTCTGTTATTTCATTTATTCGTGTCTCGGAGTTTAGATTATGATGTTTCCTAGCCAACTCTCATGCATACTTTCGCTTCTTGCAATTCTCAATGTCGAGAAATCAACCTCGAAATTCAAGTTGCTTTCGGTTTCGGGAAATGTGCCTCACAGCGCAAATGCTGCGCATATATATATATATATATATATATTTTTTTTTTTTTTTTTGCATTTGTGTTTTTTAATTTTATTTAGATACTTAGAAAAATGTTTTCGGGAAGTTCAATGTCCTTTTAATAATTTTTTTTCTCACAAAAACTGCTTTGTTTGTTTTAGATATGAGTCAGGCAACACATTCTGAAGCACGGCGTCATAACTGTCTTCTTGGATGAGGTCAAGCAGTATTTGTCTTGCGACTTGGTGAAGGAGACTGGAAATCAGTGTCGTTGGCAGGGAGGTGGTTTTTGGGAATCAACCCCCTTTCCCCCCCCAAACCCCAAAACTTTTTTTTTTTTTTTTTTTTTTAAAGGAACGATTGTGGTTGTATCCGTGAATCGTACAGTACATCGGCTACTACACGCGATAATAGAACAGAGCCCCTCCGAGAAAAATTCCTGGCTACACCACTGCTAGAAATGTCACCAATTTTTTAGAGCCCAGCTCTTAGGCGCCCGTTTCCGGGTTGAGCGGCGTCGGCATAATCGCGCGTTGCATTATGGGACTTTTCCCAAAATGACGTCACACGTGACGTTATTATGGGAAAATTTATTTTCCCATAATTTAGCGGGAAACTTTTGGTAAACTACTCGATAATTTTAGCGTGAATATTTCCCCGCTGAATTCAGCGGGGAAATTTTCGCTTAATAAACCCTTTCCGAAATTCAGTCTGGCCATTTGATCACTATCATCATCGTCTGAAAAATGGGCATATGTACTAATGGCGGCCTTCTAAACGATATTAGCACACACGTAGAGAGAAGATACAGGAAAAAGCGCTCTTTCCTGTATCTTCTCTCTACGTGTGCGGTAATACCGTTTAGATGTTTAAATACCAACTAGCCCAATTATCAAACCGTTTACGGCCTTCTGTTTACATTCCAGACGTTAGCACGATGCGAAGCAGGAATTGAATGCAAGAGCTGCGTAAGCCGTCATTTCTATAGCTCGGGCCCAGTCAATCTGTTAGTATCACAGAATCGATTTCAAAGCCCCTTGATATATAGAACATTATCAAGGCGTCTCTCTGGGTTGGCGCTTCGTTCTGACTGGTTGCATCTTTGCGGCCAACGACACTGAAAGAGATGTTTGAGAAAGAACTGTACAGTGAAGGGGGGGGGGGGGGGGGGGGGGGATTGGGGAGCACATTCTCGTTCTGACTTGCGAAAGGGACGGTGCCCGATAAAATACTGCAGGCTACAGGTTCACTGCCGAAATTAATACGGCAAAAGTTACACCGCCATTTCAGCCACCAGATGGCACTGAATTTCGGAAAGGGCCTATTTAGCGGGAAATTTAGCGAAAATTTCTCGCTAAATGGGAGGGGAGTGTACGGAGGGGGAGCGGGGACATATATTCTCCCCTCCGTAACCCCCCCCCCCCCCCCCCCCCCCTTTCTCCTCCTCAAGAGCTACGCTCTAATTTCGCATTACAGAGAATCGTAAACGTCTTTAATTTTTTTAACCTCAGGTTCAAAGGCTGAAACAAATTGATTCGAAAAATTCAGAACGTTTCAAACTTATTACAATAGAAAAAAAAAAAAAGAATTAATTGTTCGCGTCAAGAAATTGACAATTTCTGAACTTTCGAACCTGCGAAGCTAAAAAGTTCAACGGAGTTTGAACTTCTGAACAAAAATGCTACGAAGTTCGGACCAACTTTACCCCAAAAACACAGAAAAAAAAAAAAAACAAAAAAAAAAACGAGACTGGGAACAGATAAAAAATTTTACAGGGAATATTTATTGGTGGATTCTTAGGGAATGCGTTAGCATGACCCTTGGGAAACGGCACACATGTCCCCCTTTGAGAAACGGTAAAGCTGACCCCTTAACTTTTCTGTTCTGGCTTTCTCTTTTGCTTCCTCTATTTTTTGCTGCCACTTTTTGGCCTCGTTACGGGGTCAGTGTCAGCGTTTCCCAAAAGGTGGCGTGTGTAGCGTTTTCTAAGGGTCATGCTAATGCATTACGTAAGAATCCAGCAATGGATCTTCCTGTAATTTTTTTCAGCCCTTTTTTAACTCTGCCTGTCATAGTACCCTTG